GGTTGCCAATTACTTCAATGGTTCATCTGCTTCTCACCTTTAAAGTAAACCAAAACCCCAAAATCAAATATTTGCTACCTTATATGGAACATCTACAAGTGTTAACTGTGCCTAAGCAGTACCTTTACAAATAGCAGTACACCTCCTGGTATATGTCTATGCCTAGGCTCTCCTATTCTGTAGCCTGATAGCTGTATAGCTGCAGTTTGGACTGCTACCTCTGACTGCTAGCCTCACAAATTTTGAATTGAGATATGGCGATGACACTACTGTGCTGCTCACTGTTTCAATCGCTGGAGAGCAAGATGCAGTGCATGCGCCTCCTTGCTTCTGTTGATTCATTCTGTGGATCCGGTCTTCCTACACCTGTCCTTTTGCTTCTTAGCCATTGCCCTACCAGTGATCAGATCACCAGTCCTTGTGGGGAAGGTGGGGGGAGATTTGGGGGTGGTATCAAGCACATGAGCATTGGCATTTCCATCTCCTCTACCAAGATTTTGGCCCCCAAAGAAAAACACAGCTCAGAACAACACTAAGGTGCAGGATCTTGTTTCAAGTGTCTGTTCTGGTCAAGAAGAATGGATCTCTATTAAAAGCAGCTCTCCAGAAGAGTAACAACTGTAAATCAGCATGTGTCTCAAGCAAAGCAGCAGGCAAATTTGTGAAGTCCACAAGTTGATTTTATTAAACGTTAAGTTCGCTAAAAAGCCTGTGCATTTCTTTTCAGATGGTCCCACTTCATCAGGGCTGAAAATGGGCAGCTCAATAAATACACTTACGGTAACTAATTATCACATAAATAAGTTTGTCATTGGACCTGCAAGGCATTTTCCTTTCTGTTTCATTCATTAAAGGACACAGCGGAAATCTTGATCTCTAAGCTGAGCTGGGTGACAGGCTGGATAATATAGATCCTTGTAGTCTCCCCAGTTCAACCATCAAGCGCATGCAGTGCCCTGTCTGAGAGCACGATCGGCTATGACAGCCCATTTAGACTTAGGAGCAGTCTGTGAAATACCTCACGAGGGATACATAGAATCGACTGGCCACTGGGCTGGTTTGTTACAGTGCTCCACCCAGGCTAACAGTGCCCCTATCTTGGTGGGAGGCGAATTGTAGTCAGAGATGGTGCTGTTGGTATCCTTCGCCTGGAAGGTAAGTATGACTCCTATATGCCATCTTAGGCAATTGTGGGGGGTGCTATTGTGGGAATACCCTCTCCTCATTTTGTATACTGTCTATGTCAAATGGCACATGCTAGCTACAGTATGCTTTTTACCTCAGCCACCTCCTCACAACTATCCTCCAGCATCATCAGCAATCCCCTACCCCCCCTAACCATACCAAACAATGCCTAAATCGCTCTTTTTGGGGGTGCCAGTGCCATTTGGTACACATATGTGAAAAGGTTCAACTAGGACTTTTCCTTATGATTCTTTTTTTGATGACTTTATTTACACACACTAGGAATGTCCTTCTCTGGCTTTCTTTCCCTCTAAACTAAGGATGCGCCGATACTGTTTTTGTGGTATCAGGTACAAGTTCCGATATATTTTTTCCAGTACTCGCCGATACCAACGCCGGAAGTCCCAAAAAGGAAGCTGGGCTCTGTGTAATGACTCGCTGCCCGGCTTCCTGATTAGCTAGGAAGCCGGCTCCATGCTTTCTCATCACCAGGCCAATCAGGAAGCTGGGGGCGGGTAATGACTCACCGCCCGGGTTCCTGATTGACCAGCTTTCTGAACAATCAGGAAACTGGGCGGTGATTCATTACATGCTGCCTGGCTTCCTGGCTGGAAAGCTTGCTCCATGCTCCCTCGTCACCAAGTGAAAAGGGAGCATGGAGCCGGCTTCTCGGCCAATCAGGAAGCCGGTGGCGTGTATTGACCCGCCTCCTGTCTTCCTGATACTGGAGGTGCCGGTATCGGCACAAGCATCGGAAATATTTGGCAAGTACTTGCCCAAATACTCTGTATCGGTGCAACCCTGGCCTACATTTTTTTGCTTCATTATCCATCTGAATCTGCTTTATGACCTGTTTAAGCCACGGCCTTGGTGCCTCAAACACTCGTTGAATGGGCAATGCTTTTTCCCCAGGGACTGGAGAGTGAACAAGTATCTCCTGTGTATGTGGAGCTTGCTGACCAGTTAATACACAGTCTACAATATGTTTGTAACGTTGCGCTGGATACGGGTCCACTTATTTCTAAATTATCTGTATCAGCAGTTGTTATTCATTGTCTCCTGTGGCTCAAGTGCTGGTCAGCTGACCAGACATCTAAGACAGCTCTTACAGACCTGCCCTTTAAGGGCGATGGTTTATTTTGGGCAACGTTGGATGAAATAATCAAAAATCTCACAGGGGGCAAAAGTACTTTTTTGCCACAGCTGAAAAAAAAAAATAAGGAGCCTCAGCATAAAGAGGGTCCTTCTTTTTCAGCTCACAAGCTGCATTTTTGTCCCCAGGGCTCCTCAGATAAAGGACAAAAAGCTGGTATGTCCTCCACTGTCTCCACTGTCCTGGCAACCCAAGTCCTCCAAACCCAAAGAACATGAGGTTGTGCCCCGACCTGTCCATCCAGGGTGGGGGGCATCTACGATTGTTTTTGGATCTTTGGATACCTCAAATTTTAGACAGTTGGGTTTACAACTGATTTCCTCAGGCTACAAAATAGAATTTCATTCTGTTCCGCCGACTCTATTTTTTCCCTCCAATCTACGTCTTTCTCCAGTGTGTCTACCCAATCTCTGGTTGTCAGTGAAAAGTCTGATTCAACGGGGGTAATTGTTCTGGTTCCACTGTTGGAAAAATTCAGAGGCAATTATTCAAAAATGTTTCCGTTACTATAGCAGGATGGCATTCAACCAGTTCTGGACCTCAAAGCCCTCAATACGTTTATACCAATAGGAGGCGAGTCTACGTTTGTCGACCATGGTGCGCAGACGTTGTTGAATTAGTCGTGGATGTCCCCAGGCAGCTTCCTCTATGACCGGACCTTTTGTCTTAAGGTCCCATCTTCCATCCTGCTTTACTATCGCTGGTCTTAACGGCATGGCTATTGAAAGTCAGGTACTAAGTCGCAGGGGGTTACCTGAATCTGAGAATCCTGCAATGCTTAAGGCACGTAAATCTTCCTGGAAGATATACCATCATACATGGATGGCCTGCATTTCGCGTTTCTCCGTGTGCTTTGTCATTAGCTACAATTTTTGCTTTCCAGTAAAGTGTGTGCACCTTTTTTTCAAAAAGCATTGCACCACATCACTTGGTAATAGGTTACCATGCAATGTAGTAGGATACAATGCACATATGATGGCTAGGTGCGTTGAGGTGTCATTAACAAATAATGATACCACATTATACTTAACATTGCAACATGCAATGCGGGATCAATCATGTGTAGCATCACAAGCTTTCCTGTATCACATAGATGTGAACAAAGCCTTAGAAACCAACTAAAACCTGACTCTAGATTAGTATTTGTTGTGATATTTGAACATCTTTGAGAAGGAATTACTTCACATTATATGCACCTAGAGAGGTCATAGGTGGCTTGTTTTAAAGTTCTTGTGTTGCTTAGTAAGATTACGCAAATAATTTAATATCCATAGTCTGGGCACAAGTACACTTTAAAGCAACCTATGGCAGATTATTACTATTATTTCTGTTTGTTGTCTATAGACTTCTGCACACTCAGACTACATAGAAAATCAACACTAAGCCGTTCGGCATCCTGCTAGAAAAGGTCTGTATACATCTACACAGACGGAAGGTTAATTCCTTACAAGTCGGCAATTCAAAGTCAAAGCATTTTGAATGATCCAGCATACTTGTACACTCAGCTTTAAAACCTGACAAATCATAAATGTGAGTACTTGAATATCCAATTTCTGGACTGTTCTTGAAGATCTTTTACTGTGAATTCTATATTATCTGTTCCACAGACGGAATTCTTAATACATTAATTTGACTGGACTGAACAGTAAAATGATAAACAATCCATAACCAGATCATCCAATACACCCCAATGAGGAATATACAAAAAAAGTTATTTATTGGATAACATCAGGTGTCTCCATTATGGTTCTGAGAATATCAGACTGTTAGAACGCTCATAGAGCTCAGATCCCTCTTTTCTACACCTTCGAATCCCCTGAGAACCAATGTTATTCAATATCTGATATATCTGGACAAGTGGATTACAAAGTTTCACATCATTGACAAATATTTAAGTTTTTTTTCAAAGTGCACCATAAAAGTGTCATTATATATACTTTATTTTTTGAGCTCCACCGGCATGCAATTAAGAGATTTACCAGCCAGTCCGTATGAATGTGAGATGTGATTGAGACAACGTTGTCTATGTTTTAAACACATTAAGGTGGTGAATTAGTGATTCATGACAACTACTCGTATGTGATTTATAGTACTATTTAATAAAAGTGATTTTCTAAGCAAAAGTGGATACTCTGACCCTTTAAAACTGCTTTGGTCTGATCTTATTTAGATCAGAACCGATTTTTTCTTTGCATTGTGTCTTCAGTTAGGGGTTGTTGAGTATTACCGCTTCGAAAAAACCTAATTCGTGAGGAAAGGGTTAATTGAGATAGGGTTTTGGTTTCTGGATAAGCTCTCCCTTTTATGTTTAGACTTCTGCACACCCCTGTGCTATCCTTTCAAACCATAAAAGTGTAAAATACTTCTTTGAATAAAACACCCATTAATTTATCTTTATATGTTAGATGATGGTCTTACTTTGAATTGCGTGATTTAGTTCCTGTAGCAATGAGAATTTTTTATGGTGCTTGTGAAATACCTCCCCTACTTGTCTTTGCTTGCACAAGTCCTTTTTGTGTGTATGTCTGTCTAGCGGAGCGCTTATAGTAATGACTGCTTTTGCTGCATTGCTCTAATACTTAAAGCGCATATAACTCATAGTGGGCATGGAAACATTAATACATCACTTGTGAGGGATTTTTGTGTGTGCCACATTAGCATACCGAATGGCTGACACCCCACTGTATTTTTCAGTCGGCTTGTAATTGCAGCCTCTCCCTGTGTCAGGCACACCCAGACAGTGTGCTCTCCCGCTCATGAAGACATTTCTCATCACAAAAAAAGATTTTGTTACCGGAGTTCACTGCAAGCTTACTAACTAATCTCAATGGCTAGCTTCTCTAACGCCTTCAGCTATGATGTGCCCCCCTGGCAATCTCTAAACGGGCAGAATCATCCGTCTCCAAGCCCTGCACTTTCAGAAACCTATGCAACAGAATCCTGTACCACTACTACCACTAATGGCTCCCATGCGTCTCAGTCGTTTGAAGAGGTTTTTAAATCCAAGCTAATGGTGTCTACTGATACCCAGACTACGGTCAGCCAGCAGGATGATGCAGAGGCCAAGCTTAGTTCTGCACTGATGTCTTTCAGAGACAAGGTGAGTACAGAGAGAAGGGCAGATGGTGACAACATTCTACATTTCTCTACACTGAAACACAGCGAAACTGAAATTCAGGAAGGAAGTGTAAATCAAGGGTGATGCTGCAGTTCACTCAATGTGGTGAATTCAGTGCATATTTCATTTTTCTAAGCGTTCATATTGTCATTAATAATTTATTAGCATGACAGTTTGATTAAGTTAAAGCCTAATTAAGTTGGCCATTCACGGTAAAATCTGGATCACATATACTTTGCTGAACCACTGTGTCATAAACAAACGCATACCTCCCAACTGTCCCTCATTTGGAAGGACTGTCCCTCTTTGGGAACCAAATCCCTCTGTCCCTCTTTCCTCCTCAGTTGTCCCTCTTTTTGTTCTGATGTACATACAGAAAATGAACATACTATTTAAACACCCACATTGTTTATATTGCTCTTAATCTTTCATCACGCTTTCCTAATGTACTTATTTGGTTTTCACAAAATGTAGGGATGAAAATAAGCATAATTGGGTACATTTGTTCTTTAGTTCTTCAACAACTGAGGTTTGAAAGGGGCACAGCTTTTGACCTAATATTTTGTGGTTAAAGGTGTTCTTTTAAGATTCGAGAGGTATGCAACTGTTTTTTTTTTCTTTTTTTTAGAAAATACTGTTTACTTTTTAACATCTAAGTGCTGCTGCTTCCTTCAGCTTCTTTCAGCTACTTCCTGTCTACACACATGTGCATTGGGATTGGGGGAAGGTGCAAGTCATCACTTTGGACCAGCTTCCTCTTAGTGACAACGATAGATCATGCCTGTACATTGAGCATTTTCATGGCCTTTCGTAGTCTTAACTGGAAGCCCATGTGACAGGGTGACAACAGAGCAGGGCAACTGGGAGACAGGGACAGAGCATTGTCACTCCATAACACAAAGTGCCTGAACATGATAATATTAATTGTAAAATTAAGAAGATTGCAAATTATATTTCTCTTTGAGCCAAGATTAATTAGTGCTCTCTGCTATATTACTGTCAAATGCCTTTACTACTCACAGAGATTCCAGCATTTGATAACTTGACAAGAATGGGCCTAATATCCAAGGGAACTGGGCACAGAGTTGATTTGGAGTCTAACACAAATACTTACAGGTACCCAAAGGTGCTTTACTTTTGCTCACTGATGATCCTTTATGCACTTTTTTAGGGAAAGTGGTGTCATGCTCAGCTTTTATATTATGGTTGAGGTTTGCATATTAGTTGAAGTAGTTCAATAAAATCTCAGTTTATCTTAAACATGGTTATGTTATTTTGAAAGTTGTTTACCTTGTTTTCTTTTAAGTCTTCAATTTTTATTAGAATACTTGATGATCCTGCTAAGAAGGTCTTTGTTCAGGCACTTCCTGTTATGGGGTGACAACTGTGTTCCAACTGTGCTTTGCGATGTCACCCTATCACATGTGCCCATGTTAATGATCACAAGCGGCTGCTCTAACGGACAGTGCACAGGCATGGTCCATCATTGTCATTATCAGGACACTGGTCCAGAGCAATTATGTACAGCTGATGCTGGAGTGAATTCATATAGACAGGAAATGGCTCTAAGAGGCTGGTGGAAATCAGTGTTATAATAAATGTTATCCAATAAGGGTTTAGTTCTATACATTTACACTATGCATTGCTTTCACACACACACATACATGAAAACAGTCAATTAATAGTGCTTAAAAAAGAAAAAAAATACCTGACCTTTTTTTTTCTAGCGCAGGACTATGCATTGTGCTGGAGTGCAGGTGCGTTGCCTGTTACTGTAATAATGCATTGGCATGCCTTTCATGGCACCGCAACACACTGCACCATGTTGCTGCAATGTGAAAATGTGAGTTGGCCTATAGCTGCCTATATCTCTGAACATGTGAGTGTTACTAAACTTTCCCTTTGGTTGCTTGATGCAGTTTTCATCATATTCTCAGGCTAGGTTTCCTAGTTTTCTTAAAGATATACTATACATTGCTAAAGGTGTACATACACAAGTATACTAAATGCATATGTAGCCACATTGCCCTAAGCAGGAGTGTATATTTAAATTCTAAAGCTATCAGGCTATAGTCAGTCTAAATTTAATCGCAGTTAGGCTTTCTGCAGTCGCTTTTAACCTCCCTGGCGGTGTGATTATGCAGGATTTTAGCATGCCAAAGCGGTACATTGTTTTTCATGGCAATATGTTGTTTTATATTGTAGGCCTGTAATTCTTAGTAAATCTTAGGAATAACCCACCTAAATCTGTCCAAACAAGAGTTCAGTAGACATCCCGGGTACGATAAAGTTTGAAACACGAAATCATAAATTATAATATAATAAATATAAAAAATTATAATAATATAATAATAATTTAAAAAATGGTCCAGTAAATGGGAATTCTGGGGGCGCTGCCCGATCCGTACCACAGTCAATACCAAGTACCAAGTTCGCACATCACTGAGCTCCATCGCAGAATCGTCGCTGTAGTAACTTTCAGTGTCTGATGACGAATCGCTATCGCTCAATTCTGCAAGTGATTCTAATTTACTATCGCTGTTTTCTACCTGGTCGAAAATCGCTTTTGACCTAAAGGGACGCTTTTTGGATGCCATGGACGTTCTCAAGTTTCCAGGCAGAAAGAACAGTAGAAGTGCAGGCAGGGCACTGGACAAAGCTCTAGGGACAAAATTGAAATAGTTTGATACATAAATGTAATCATAGCACATTACATTGTATTGTGTGTATTCTGTATACATTGCATCTTTTCACTTTTGAATTTCCCGCCGGCTCGGCCCCCCGCTGTGACGCCCGAAACTATAGTAAAAGTCATATGCCGGCATCGGCCGGCCGCGTAGAGCAGAGGACACTGCAGGCTCGTAGGGACAAGGTAAGTGACACTTTTGTGCAATCCCGAGTCTGGCTCGGGGGTTACCGCTCTTGGTACTGAAAATTAACCCCGAGCCACACTCGGGAATACCGCCAGGGAGGTTAAGCTCTTTTGATTGTGTGCTTCTGTCTGCTGATGGGAAGCGTACCTGGCAATAGTGTGGGAGACTGCACTAATCACAGTAATGGATGTTTACATCTCCCTGACCAAACATTGCCAGTGGTGCAGGCTGGAAGAGGGTATAAATATTTAGGGGTGACCTTGGTCAATCTTCCCTGGGCCTCCTGTCTGGTGGAGGTATGCTGTGGATTTTCAGATCCTCCTAGGCCAGCTGCCTGAGGAGGGTGACCATGTGCTTTGACTGATGCCTGGGTTTGACACCTAGTGTGCGGAGTCTGGGGATGGACATGCCATGGAGGGACTTCAGCCTGAATATGGGACCTGAGGAGCTGGGTAGAGGTAATTATAACTAAGGAGATAAGAGTCTATGTTTTTCGATCTACAGGCAGTCCCCGAGTTACGAACACCCAACTTAAGTACGACTCATACTTACAAACGGAGGCTATTACTGTACAGCAGGGGGTCCCAGGCTGAAAGTGTACCGTGCAGCGTTCCAGTAGTTGTAATGCTACCGCTCTTGTGCCGACGAGGAGTGACCGCCTTTTCGGGTCTGGTTCGTAGTACTGTACGTACATTAGAGGAAGTTGGCTCTTGTTAGACTGCAGACGAGCGGTGCCCACCTCTTCTTCTGGGTCTGGTTCTGTAAATTACAGGAAGTTGGCTCACATTACTGTTGTAACCCTGTACGTACAGTGTACACGTTTTTTGTTTTTTTTAGATTTGGTTAGTATGGTGAGGGGTTAGAGCCACTGTGAGGTTTTTACTGCTGTCTGTATCCTCATTAGAAAGATTTATTCTCGCTTACTGTCCTTGACACAAAAGGAAGTGAGAGGAAATCTACCCCTAGGAAGGGAAATTCACTCCTGTAAGAGTTGTCAAGGGAAAAACATGTCTCCACTGAAGCTTTATCACCAATCCTTGTTTCCACGACAACCCAAAATTTAAAAAATCCAATTGTCACTGGAACAGAAAGTGAGGTGAAATCTTCTGAACAGGGGCACACACAAATTTTACAGGGGGTTAATCCTTCCCTATGCTATCCAAAACTAAAAACAATTTGGGGGGCTGGCGTTAAACTTAAAAAATGTACCTGTTCCAACTTACATACAAATTCAACTTAAGAACAAACCTACAGAACCTATCTTGTACGTAACCCAGGGACTGCCTGTACTCAACTAAGATCTCCACTTAACATTAATCTCCTTGGGGTTGACTGTCTTGAGTGGAGATATTGCTCATTGGACCTTCTGGGGTTAAGGGGGGACCCCACCCCATATATAGGCCAAAAAAGTGTTAGCTCTACTTTTTAAATCATTCTAGAAGGAATGCAGCAGTAAAAGGAGTATTGTCGGAATATCTGAAGACATAAAGGCTGTGTGAGGACAACACTGTTGATAAATGGTTAGTGACACGCTGAACACAGAGGTGGAAGTTAGTAAACATATTATGAACGTGACGAGAATTTTTTTAGGGTATGGGTACAGCAAGATGATGAGAGAAACATGAGATAAGAGGATACATGTACACATCTTTTGCAGGAATTTGATGGAGAGATGTGATATGAGGAGTCGATGACAAGCATGTCACAGGAGGATAACATCTGTGATTAAGAAATCAAAGATTGGCATACACACTAATGCTCTAAATATGCTGTCAACCCTTGTTTTACAGATTCTATACCTCGAAAAACAGCGTGAACTTCTGCAAGAGCGCTGGTCTATAGTGCAAGTAGAAGATACTTCCGAAATAGACCTGGAGCCAATTTACCTGTCCTATATCAGCCGACTTCTCGCCCAGGTCAACAGTGTAAATAAGCAAAACAACCAGACCCAGAGCAGCGTGCTGGACATGATGGATTCAATCAATGCTATCAAAGACAAGTTAGTGCTGGGTGTTGGGTGTGCTGGTGGAAGTTTATTAAAGAGCCAGGAAGATATACATTTAAAACCTGTATGTAGCACCTGCTTTATCTTGCAAAATATCTTGGTAGTTGATATAATTGATGCACACCCTGTTATCCTATGGATGCAGAGTATATGGGATGACAATACTTTTAAAAACAGGCAGTGCTGTTGAATCAGTGCTAATGCCACATCTCAATCCTATTCTATAGAATACTAGTAAATGTCTTTTCATTTTCGATGCCCAACCTGATTTATCTGCCTTGTAAACCCACCCTAGCATTCTGCTTATTGCGTACAGTGAAGGAGCTCCCACTGCAAGGCTTATGTCAGCTAATGTGTGACAACTCAGTATAAACAAAGATTTCAGGTAAATGGTACTTTTATTGAACACATAGAGTAATAATACTTGACTATTAGGGCCGCCCGCAGTGGCCTCGGAAGAGCGAGCGGCCGCCCGATGACAGCCAGGTGATCGTGTCAGGGAGAGGGAGCCATGGCTTCGTTAAGCGGGGGTCATGACGGCGCCCCCCCTCAGTCCTGCGCCCGGGGCAAGTGACCCTCCCGCACCCCCGGTTGTTACGCCACTGATTACGAGTCAAATGTAGCAACATTTCTTTCCAGAAGTTTAATACACTATATATTTTCACTAGCCTTCCTCAGGGCCCTCCCACATCTGCCCTGCTGAGACCCTCCACATCTTCTTCTGCTGAGACCCTCCACATCTGCCCTGCTGAGACCCTCCACATCTGCTTCTGCTGAGACCCTCCACATCTGCCCTGCTGTGATCCTCCACATTTGCCCCGCTAAGACCCTCCACATCTGCCCTTGGTGATACCCTCCACATCTGCCCTGCTGCAATCCTCCACATCTACCCTGCTGAGACCCTCCAAATATGCCCTGCTGCAGTCCCCCACATCTGGCCTGCTGCAATCCTCCACATCTGCTGTGACCCTTCACATCTGCCCCTCCTGTGATCCTTCACATGTGCCCTGCTGAGACCCTACACATCTGCCCTGCTGAAATCCTCAACATCTGCCCCTGCTGCAACCCCCTACGTCTGCCCCTGATGCAATCATCCACATCCGCCCCTGCTGTGATCTTCCACATCCGCCCTGCTGAGACCCTCCACATCTGCCCTGCTATGATCCTCCACATCTGCCCTGTGCGATCCTCCACATCTGCCCCTGCTGAGACTCTCAGCCTGTGACATTAGGCCAGCACCCCAGAGCAGGGCAGCAGCACAGAGTATGTAGAAAATTCATATACTATTCTGCATTACTGTATATTGTATTGCTGGAATTTGTAGTCCTCTATAGCTGGTAGTATTCTGCATTGCTGTATAATGTATTGCTGGAATTTGTAGTTCTCTATAGCTGGTGGTAGTCTGGATTGCTGTGACTTGCAGTCGTCTATAGCCAGTGCCATTCTGCATTGCTGTATAATGTATTGCTGGGATTTGTAGTCCTCTATAGCTGATGCCATTCTGCATTGCTGGGATTTGTAGTTCTCTATAGCTGGTGGTATTCTGTATTGCTGTATAATGTATTGTTGAGCTTTGTAGTTCTCTCTAGCTGGAGGTATTAGTCGGCATTGCTGTATAATGTATTGCTGGGATTTGTAGTCTCCTATAGATGGTGGCATTCTGCATTGCTTTGTAATGTGATGCTAGGACTTTTACAGCTCGGAGTCAGTGGCAGAACTACCAGGGTTGCAGGAGTTGCAGCTGTGACCGGGCCCTGGTGCTCCACCACTGTCCTAAAATCATTAATCTGTATTGTTTTAGAAAAACTGTCACATGACTATAAAAAAAAGGTATCGTAATTGGTATCAGCGAGTATATGAGGAAATGTATTGGTACTTGTACTCAGGCTAGCAAAAATTATATCTGTTAATTCCTAATATAAATGTATAATAATAGTGTGTGACTGTGGAGGGACATTAGAGTGTAAGCTCCTCTGGTGCAGAGACTGTTGTGACTTGTTCAGTGTTTTCTGTACTGTACTGTGGTATATGTCAGAGCTATAGCATTGTATAATAATAATAGTGTGTGACTGTGGAGGGACATTATTATTATTATTATTATGCAGGATTTATATAGTTTGCGCAGTGCTTTACAATGTAAGAAAGACATTACAATCACAATACAATTCAGGACAAGATGGTAAGGAGGGCCCTGCCCATGAGGGCTTACAATCTAGAAGGAAGGAGCAAGTGATGCATGAGGAGGTAGAGTGTTAGAGTATAAGCCCCTCAGGTGCAGAGACCAGGGGCAGACCGAGGCTGGGGAGGAGCCCAGTGAGATCTGGCCCATGGCCCTTTGTTCCTTAGGTCTGTCACTGGCCCTCCTAACCCAAGGTCTATTGCAACACCCCTCAATCTCAAAGAGGCCATGAGGTCTTAACCTTTACTCAGACACCCTTAGAGACCCTTTTATCTCATTGGAAAAAAACACTCTAATCAGAGAACATGACCTCTTTTACCAACTTTATGCATTTAATTGTTCCTTTAAAATATATTGTGTGTGCTAGTAAGCTGTGTGTGTCTTTACAAACACACAGGCGCAGCAGGGCAATCCACTCCCCTCCTCCTTTCTCCTCCTCCTTCCCTCCTCCAAGCTAGTAGATGGGTAGCTACTGAAGCTACGCTATCTCTTGTCTAGCTTGTACTGGACAGGAAGTTCAGGGATGCCGAACCGAGAGAGTTGCAGCCAGCTGTTTTTAACTATGGTATAAGTGTTTTTTCAAAAGTTGAAAGAAATACTTTGCTGAGGAGTGCATATTTGTTTGATCTGGATTCATTATTGTAGTTTGAGAGTTTAATACTACTTTAAGGCTAACAGATTCTACTTTTCTATAGTGAAACCTTACCATAAACTTAGAGGTTATATGTAAAACTGAATTTAAGCTGTGGGATATCCTACAGAAAAGGTTTCATGGTGTGATTGATAAGTCTGCTTTGCAGACTTTCTTCTATATTCTTTTGCTGACATACACACACACACACACACACACACACACACAATGAATTATTGAAACCTACACAAAAACATACAGACACACCCTTAACCACAAAGGAACTCAATACACAGACACACATTGGTGTTTACCAAGTAATGATTGATCCATTTCATATCCGAGGAAAAACACGGTTTATCTGGGGTCTGCAGGAATCACTCCTAGGATAGACAGGTTTATAAAAACATACTGAAGAAAATTTATCAAAACTGGAGCCGATGTGCATGGCAACCAATCAGCACCTGTCTCTTATATTCAAATCTTAACTGAACAAACTGAAGAGAGAAGCTGATTGGTTGCGATGCACAGCTGCTCCAGTTTTTGTCTGCTCCCGTTCTGATAAATCCCCCCCACTGTATTTTTGTTATGATACTGCTATTTATATATATAATATATATAATAATATAATATACTGTATATTAGGGATGTCCCTTAACGGCCGTGAGAAAGGGACGCAGGTGCAGTGTGGGGGGTGTAAGGCTCGGTGAGTGGCAACGCATGCGCGGAAGGTCCTTACGTGTAGCTGACCTACTGGCAGTACCCGGATGCGACGTCAGAGGTTCGCGAGGTCGATGAGTTCTCAGTGTCGACAGAACACCGGCGACTGCCCACAGGACCTGTGGGCAGTCGCAGGCCAGCTAAATTAGGACCCCACCTGGAGCTCCTCCCACCAGACCAGCACCGACTCGCCGCTGCTCTCCCGCACAGCGCGACCTCGCCAGCGAGGCAACTAACAGTGAGTGAGGGCCTGGGGTCCCTCATAAGAATGATTTATTGTATTAGCAGGGGAAAATAGTACATTATTGTCTGCAGTGTGTACTCTATATGTACTACATATAGAGTACACACTGCAGCAATAGAGTTACTATTATCCCCCGCTAATATGAATGGATTAAATGATCCATAGTACATAATAGTACATGACATGTAATTGTACTACGGATCATTTAACCCAGTGGTTCTCAACTCGTGGGTCGCGACCCAAAAGTGGGTCGCGACACCCTCTGCAGTGGGTCGCGGCGTCATGTCTGCATAGACCGGCCCATCTGCATTAGAGAGAACTAGAGGGGGAATTTGTGGTTCAGCCTGCGGGAACCTCATAATGTCAAACTGTCCCCTCTCTCCCGGCCTCCCCCGGGCTCTCCAATAAAGTGGTATGGCCCGGGGAGAGAGGGGACTATTTCTTCACTTTCGTGCCGGCGCATTAATATCGGTGGAAACATGTGGGTCCCGAGGTTACACAGGTTGAGAACCACTGATTTAACCTATCCATGTTAGTCAAGGAAAATTGTAAATCTATTGCTGCAGTGTGTACTGTATATGTAATACATATATACAGCACACACCTCCACTACACTACACCAATAGAGTTACAATTCTCCCCTGCTAACATGAATAGGTTAAATCATGATCCATAGTACACACTTCCAGTACACTGCAGTAATAGAGTTACATTTCTCCCCTGCTAGCATGAATAGGTTAAATCATGATCCATAGTACACACTTCCAGTACACTGCAGTAATAGAGTTACATTTCTCCCCTGCTAGCATGAATAGGTTAAATCATGATCCATAGTACACACTTCCAGTACACTGCAGTAATAGAGTTACATTTCTCCCCTGCTAACATGAATAGGTTAAATGATCAGAGAGGCACATGCATGATCGGATTTGTAGTTTCACGACAGCTGTGTGAAAGCAAGTACAAATGTTTTATTGTTCTAAAACAGTCTTAAATTAAAGTTCTTCATAATCATAAAGAAATTGGCCTAAAATCATTAGCCTGAATAGTTTTTTTTTAAATGTCACCTGTCCCTTTAAGAAAAAGTATCGGTAATTGGTATCGGCAAGTACATGAGATGTGGTACTTGTACTTGGTCTTGAAAAAGTGGTATCGGGACATCCCTACTGTATATAATATATGTGTATATAATTTATATATTAGTTATATATGTAAACACA